ACGAGTCCCACTTCTCTCACCCCCATCTTCCACTGCAAATGCTTCTAAACAGACTGTTACTTAGTTGTGTTATACCCTCTCTTAACAAAAACCTAACTTGCATAGAAAACAAGATGAGATTGGCATGGCTTTACCTGTTTTCTGAGGGGTTTTTGTGTGTTTGATTGGTTTGGGGTTCTGTTTTGGTTTTGGGTTCTTTTTTTTGACTTGATAATTCAGGATTTACAAACTAGAACGGTGAAAGTGACAACAGTCTGTTGGAGTGAGCCTCCCCCAAAGTTCTACAATGTGGTCGAGAACTTTGGTTGTACCTAGTTTTTTTTTTTTTTTAAATTTATTTATTTTGAGACAGGGTCTCACTCTGAGGGTCTCACTCTGTCACCGAGGCTGTAGTGCAGTGGCCCAATCACAGCTCACTGCAACCTCAACCTCCAGGGCTCAGGTAATCCTCTCACCTCAGCTTCCCAAATAACTGGGACTACAGTGCACACCACCATACCTTGCTAGTTTTCTATCTTATGTAGAACAGGGGTCTCACTATGTTGCCCAGGCTGGTCTCAAACTCCTGCGCTTGGGTGATGTGTCTGCCCCAGCTTTACAAAATGCTAGGATTGCAGGCGTGAGCCACCACGCCAGGCCTGTTCTTTTGTTTTAAATAGTCATTCCAAATATCATGAAATGTATCATTACAGGAAGTTCCTTTGCCCTCCCAAAAGCCACTCTACTTCTAAGGAAAATGGCCCAGTCCTCTCCCAAGTCCACACAGGGGAGGTGACAGCATTGCTTTCATGTAAATTATGTAATGCACAATGTTTTAAATCTTAGCCTTAATAACTTAATAGTATTTTATTTTTGTTTTGTTTTTATTCTTTTTTGAGACAGGGTCTCACTCTGTCACCCAGGCTGGAATGCAGTGAGACGATCTCAGCTCACTGCAACCTCTGCCTCCTAGGCTCAAGTAATCCTCCCACCTCAGCCTCCTGAGTAGCTAGGACCACAGGAGCGCACGACCCCGCCTGGCTAATTTTTTGTATTTTTGGTAAAGATGGGATTTCACCATATTGCCCAGGCTGGTCTCAAATTCCAAAGCTCAAGTGATTGGCCCACCTTGGCCTCCCAAAGTGCTGGGATTACAAGCGTGAGCAACTGCATCTATTTTGTTTTATTGAATGAGTCATTGGGGCCATACTTTTTGTCCCTAAACTTGATGTGTATGAAGGCTTTTGGTCTCCCTGGGATTGGGTGGAGGTGTGAAAGTAGCAAGGGGTTACCTGTACACTGACTTGAGACCAGTTCAATAAAAGTGCACATGTTAAAAAAAAAAAATACAATATTAAAGGCATAAGGGCCAGGCGCAGTGTGTACTCATGGAAAGATCTCTCTCTCTCTCTCTCTCTCTTTCTCTTCTTATAAAGGCACTAATCCCATCATGAGGGTCCTGCCCTCATGACCTAATCTAGACCCAATCTCCCAAAGACTCCACCTTCAAATAGCCATCACATTGGGGTCTAGGGCTTCAACATGTGAACTGGGGGGAAGGGAGACACAAACATTCAGTTCATAACAGAAATAAGTCTTGGCCTAGTGTGGTGGCTCATGCCTGTAATCCTAGCACTTTAGGAGGCTGAGGCAGGAAGATTGCTTGAGACCAGGAGTTCCAGACCAGTCTGGTCAACATAGTGAGACCCTATCTCTATTAAAAAGAAATGAAAAATTAATATAATTAAAAATTTAAGGCCGGGCGCGGTGGCTCAAGCCTGTAATCCCAGCACTTTGGGAGGCCGAGACGGGCGGATCACGAGGTCAGGAGATCGAGACCATCCTGGCTGACACGGTGAAACCCGTCTCTACTAAAAAATACAAAAAACTAGCAGGGTGAGGTGGCGGGCGCCTGTAGTCCCAGCTACTCGGGAGGCTGAGGCAGGAGAATGGCGTGAACCTGGGAGGCGGAGCTTGCAGTGAGCTGAGATCTGGCCACTGCACTCCAGCCTGGGCCTCAGAGCGAGACTCCGTCTCAAAAAAAAAAAAAAAAAAAAAATTTAAAAAGGATAGGCCACCAGTAGTGACCCACACCTGTAATCCTAGCACTTTGGGAGGCTGAGGCAGAATGATCACTTGAGCCCAGGAGTTTAAGACCAACAAAGCAAGACCCTGCCTCTATTTAAAAGGAGGAGGAGGAGAAGGAGGTGGGGGGAGGAGAAGGAGGTGGGAGAGGTAGGAGTGGGGGAGAAGGAGAAGGAAGAGGAGGAGAGGCGGGAAGAGTAGGAGAGGTAGGAAGTGGGGGAAGAGAAGGAAGAGGAAGGGGAGAGGAGGAGGAGGAGGAGGAGGGGAGGAGAGGGAGGATGAGGAGGAGAAGAGGAGAAGGAGGAGGAGGGAAAGGAGGAGGAGGATGAAGAGGGAGGAGGAGAAGAAAGAAGAGAAGGAGAAGGAAGAGAGAGAGGGGAGAGGAGGAGGGAGGAGAGGGAGGATGAGGAGGAGAAGGGAGGAGGAGGGAAAGAGGAGGAGGGAGGGGGGAGGGGATGAAGAGGAGGAGGAGAAGAAAGAAGAAGGAAGAAGGAAAAAGAAGGGGGGAAGGGGAAGAGGAGAAGGGAAAGCAGGAGGAAGAAGGGGAGGAGGTGGCGAAGGAGGAAGAGGAGAAGAAAAAGAAGAAAAGAATGCTGAGAATGCTGACTGCTTTATTTGAGGCTATAAAACATGGGAGGTTGGGAGGGAGTCTAGATAGGAGTAACTTCTGGCTTCTGTCTGGTCCCCCTTCCAAGAGAAGATTAATGTTATCTAATAATCCAGAATTCCATTGATATGTCATTGTCTCTATTACCCCCAGGTAATGGTGACTGATACAGATACAGGGGTCAGGTGGAGGAGGAACCTGTCTGGCCTGGTGGCTATTTTGAAGGGAATGACAGATGCTACCAAAGATTATCAATTTCTTAACGTTATTCTTTACAACTGGGTTGCCCCTTCTCAGATTGCCTGCAGAAAGGCCACCATAATAGCAAAGACGGTGAGGGGCCAGAAAAAGGGGAAATGTGGATACTTTCATGACTCATTCATAGAAATGAACTTTTTAGTTCATCCTGGATGACTGACACTAGCAAATATTTGATTATCAAAACTCTACCCCTGTAGTTGGGTTTTCATAGTATTCATTGCTCTTGAAGAGCACCAAAAAATTTCATTCCAAATTTGACATATTTTGAGATGACTGTTCGGAAAGCCTGCAACGCTGTCTTTGGTGGGGGAAATTTGCATCTGCAGAGAATCTGCATTGATGCAGACAGGCTTTCTCTGGTGCTCTCCCTTGTCTAGATCTAGGAAAGATTAAATGAGAGTCTGGCATCTTTAAAGGCCTGACAGAAACTTTTACCATCTATTCCTTCTAAAGGCTACTCTCTGTGAGATTTCATTTGTTCACCAAGACTGTCTTTGCTAGCCAAGCCTCTTCTTCTCCCCCTCCCATAACCTGCCTTGCCACCATAACCTGTTTTGCCCAGATGCAAGCTCCCATTCTTTCTGTAACCTCAAGGTGGTATAAAAGCCACCATTTGGCCATTTCTCTGAGTTTTTATATTCTGTATGACTTCCACACACGTGTGCATCAAATAAAATTTGCAGGAGACCGGGCCTGGTGGTTCACACCTGTAATCCCAGCACTTTGGGAGGCCGAGGCGGGCTGATCACCTGAGGTCAGGAGTTTGAGACCAGCCTGACTAACATGGCAAAACCCCGTCTCTACTAAAAATACAAAAAAAAAAAAAAAAATTAGCCCAGCATGGTGGCAGGCACCTGTAATCCCAGCTGCTCGGGGAGGCTGAGGCAGGAGAATCGCTTGACCCGGGAGGCAGAGGATGCAGCGAGCCAAGATTGCGCCATTGTACTCCAGCCTGCGCAACAAGAGTGAAACTCCATCTCAAGACACACACACACATACACAAAACTCCTTCTCCCCAAAGGCAAGGCAAGGGAGATTAATAAATGCAGTTGTACTTTCTCGATTCTGGTGAGAAAGCTGAAATAATCTGCTTAAAAAAAAAAAAAAATGGGGCTGGACACGGTGGCTCACTACTTGTAGTCCCATGGGAGGATCACTTGAGGCCAGGAGTTCGAGACCAGCCTGGGCAATATAGCGAGACCCTATCTATAAAAAAATAAAATTTGGAAATGATGTATTTGTGTTGGAACCTCCGTGTTCTATACAAAAATATCCCAGTGCAGCTCCTTGGTCTCAGTAGGATGCATGAGCCTTCAACCTTCTCAGCCTGGGCTCAGATAATTTCCTGGAGGAGATTAATTTGGAGTTTGGTTTAAAAGAGAAGCCAGTGGCAGCAAACGCTCTTGGTTACGAGAGGTCTCTTTTTCTTTCACTGTCTTCCTTCAGCTCCCCTAACTCCCATTCACTGGGCAGAAGAAATAAAACAAAGTGAACTTTGGCACATTCTCTTCTCAAGCAGTGAGACTTTTATCCCTTTTGTCATGGCAATGGATCTCAGAGTTCGCCTAATTTCCTGGTCTCAGATCTCAAACGATGGCTTGAGGCTAGAGTATGTTTCCTAGGGTAGCTTGGAGCTTGTGGGTGAGGGGAATTACTACCGTGTCCTCGGCGTTCACCCAGAGAGGGACCAGAGATCAGCAACCACTGCCTCTCCCCTGCCAGACCTTGTCGGGTTCATGGGAAGCACATGGGTCAGTGTACTAGGGATTCCTGGCGCCTCAAGAGTTCAAGCAACCCTCACACCAGTAAAGGCGGCCCTGCCTAGCACAGGCAGGACGCAGAGGTGGAGAGTTGCGGGGTGCCATGCAGCCGCCAGAGGACGCAAGTGCCTCAAGTCCCCGCGCGATGGCGTCCCCCGGACCTGGAAGGAAAGGTGGTCCGCCTGCGAGGAGACGCGGACCCGGCCAAGGAGCCCACAGGCAGAGCCGGGCCCCGCCTCACCCCCGAGCCGTCGGGCTCCGCATCCGGCCCACCTGTGCCTCCCTGCCTACCAACCCAAGAGCCTCACCCTGATCTGCGCTCGCGGGGTGACCTCGACGCCTGGGCGGGGACCGAGGGCACTCTGAGCTCTGCGCCCAGCTCCAAGACCCACTCCGGCTCCGAGGCTGAGGCCAGGTCTTCAGAGAGGAACGACTGAGGGGCCAAAGCCTAGGGGTAGCCCGCTTCAACCCTGGCAGCCGCAAAACAATGGCCCCAGGGGCTGCGGGCGCCGCGGCGGGCGCGGAGGAGCAGGGGCGCCCGGGCGCTGGAAGCCCCGCCCCTCGGCCGGCGCCCTGACAACGAGGGCGGGCTGGGCTGCGCCGCCTGCTCCCCGCCCCTCGGCCGCCCGCACCGGGCGGGGCCCGGGCCAGAGCGCCGCCGCCGCCGCTGCTGCAGCAGCAGCTGCTCTGCAGAGTGGGGGCCGGGGCCGGGGTGCCCTCCCTCCCACCTTCTCCCGCCATGAGCCAGGGAAGTCCGGGGGACTGGGCCCCCCTCGATCCCACCCCCGGACCCCCAGCATCCCCCAACCCCTTCGTGCATGAGTTACATCTCTCCCGCCTCCAGAGGGTGAAGGTAATGTGTAGGGAGCGGGCGTCGGAAGGACCCGTGGGGATAGAAAATGGGGCCGTTTGAGCCCTGGCAAAGGTGGGCTTGGGGATCCATGAGAAGGAGATGGCTGAGAGGCTTGCGGAGCTGGAGTCCGAGGGTGCGCACGTGGGGGCGGCCGCGGGTGGGCAAGGAGCCCTGGAGAGGACGCTGCGGGCTTGTGCGATAGACAGGCTCGAAGATGTGGAAGAACTGAGTAGGTGGGGGTGGAGGACTGCAGGGGACCCTAGGGTTGGAGAGAGGAAGGACGCTGGGGAATGCGGATTACATTCTGCAGAGCCTGATGCCTAGGATGGAGTTAGAGGCTACGGGAAGCCGGGGGTGGGGGCGGGGGCGTGCCGAGTGTTCCTCCGAGGCATGACTTAGAGGGAAGACGTTTCTGGGCCGGGAGCCTGCGACCTTGTGCCCTTTCCTACACTCCCTCTTCCCACTCCCTCCAACCCCCCTCCACCCCGCACTGCAGCACCTCCCGGTGGGGGCAGGGAGGCTGAGAGGGAGGTTGGCTACAGGAAGTGGAGGGCCGCGCCAGCCTAGGGGAACTGGGAGGTGGTGTGGGGAGGGAGTGTCCGAGGTTTCTGCTGTCATCACCTCCCCGGAGGCAGGCTCCAGGGGCTAGGTTTGTTTACCTGCTTCTTCCCCAAGGCAGCCTATGGAGTCACCCTGGCTCCTGGCAACCTCTCCCATGCGGAGTGGGGCCGAGCTCCTGTCTCCCGTATCCCCCAGTACTATAGGATTACTGTTGAGCAGTGTTAGAAACTGACCTCGGGCCTGAAAACTGGACCTCTCGCTGTTTACAACCCTCTGCCTCCTAGGCCCGAAGTGGGAAGATCTGTGCACCTGGTTTCTGTTGGGCATAGGAGCTATTTATGGAACAAGATGTGGGGGAGGAGGACCTATCTCTAACCTACTGTACATCGAGCGCAGCGCCCTGCACTTTCGCGTGCATTCTTATTAAATCCTCTAACTGCTAGATGCGTTTTATGACGTTCGGTTTTATAAGTGGGGTAGGGAACAACTGAAAGACAGGAAATAAGGTCCTTGATGCCATTAATCTTTTATCCTCTTGCCCTCATTGGTATCTTCATCCCACCTTGGGTCCCAGTCCCCTCTCCTGTTCCCACACCACCTGTCACACGCAAGGGATGATGGCTGTTTGCTCCCGCGTCTGTCCTTTGTGGGAGAGGGATGCTGTGGAGGGAGCATATCCAAGCTCTAAAGTGGCATTCTCTCCCACCCTTTGCAGTTCTGCCTCCTGGGGGCATTGTTGGCCCCCATCCGAGTGCTTCTGGCCTTTATCGTCCTCTTTCTCCTCTGGCCCTTTGCCTGGCTGCAAGTGGCCGGTCTTAGTGAGGAGCAGCTTCAGGAGCCAATTACAGGATGGAGGAAGTAAGTGGGGGATCAGCCCCCAGAGACCCTACTTCTCTTCCCTGCTGTCTCTTCTGCTCCCTCTTTAAGAAGAAAAGGGAGGATTCGGAAACTATTCTGTCTAGCTTGGGTAGATGAGATGAGTCAGCCAAGCTCAGACGTGGTTCCCAGACCTCACCTCTAAGTAATGTGCCCTGGTATGTCCCAAAGTGGCCGGAGACCTTGGCCCCTTGGTCACATCCTATTTAAGGGTAAAAGAGGGGTGCCCTACTTTCCCGGTGCCTGAACCTGGGGGCGGGTGAGGGTTAGAACCACTGCTTCCGCTGATACCCAGCCTTGCCCTGGCAGGACTGTGTGCCACAACGGGGTGCTAGGCCTGAGCCGCCTGCTTTTTTTCCTGCTGGGCTTCCTCCGGATTCGGGTTCGCGGCCAGCGAGCCTCTCGCCTTCAAGCCCCTGTCCTTGTTGCTGCCCCACACTCCACTTTCTTTGACCCCATTGTTCTGCTGCCCTGTGACCTGCCCAAAGTTGTGTCCCGAGCTGAGAACCTTTCCGTTCCTGTCATTGGAGGTGAGAGCATTCAAAGCAGGTGAAGGGGCAGGGTGACAACTCTGGGCAAAAAAAGTCAGGAATGAAGACACTGGAGAACTGGCCTCAAAGTGGGGAGGGACTGTTGGCAAGTGAAATATAAATTAACACCCTTAGTCAACCAATCTTAGATTCTGAGGGCTGGGACAGAGAGAAGGTGTTGGAGGGAGTTCTGGTCAGTGCTCTAAAAGGACAACTACTATAAAGGGATTGTCCCAGGGCAAAGAGATAACAGGCCAGGCGCGGTGACTCACGCCTGTAATCCCAGCACTTTGAGAGGCCGAGGCGGGCGGATCACCTGAAGTCGAGAGTTCGAGACCAGCCGGACGAACATGGAGAAACCCCGCCTCTACTAAAAATACAAAAACACTAGCCAGGCATGGTAGCCCATGCTTGTAATCCCTGCTCCTCAGGAGGCTGAGGCAGGAGAATCGCTTGAACCCAGGAGGCGGAGGTTACGGTGAGCCGAGATCAGCCATTGCACTCCAGCCTAGGCAACAAAAGCAAAACTCTGTGTCAAACAAAACAAAACAAGAGAGAGAGCAGAAACTTCTCACACTCTTGAGGAAGTGGAGGCTGCAGATGTTACTGCCCCTGGGTAGGAATGAAGTGATTCCTCTCTGTATCCTTCCCAAACCCAGCCCTTCTTCGGTTCAACCAAGCCATCCTAGTATCCCGGCATGACCCGGCTTCTCGCCGCAGAGTGGTGGAGGAGGTCCGAAGGCGGGCCACCTCAGGAGGCAAGTGGCCGCAGGTGGGTAAGGGTCTCAAGACCATCTTCTCACTTGCCATGTGCTCCTCAACAGGCTTCCCTTTCTTCTCTCCTCAGTCTTCTTCAGCCTTCTTCACCTCATGCTGCTCTTTTCCCCCAGGTGCTATTCTTTCCCGAGGGCACCTGTTCCAACAAGAAGGCGTTGCTTAAGTTCAAACCAGGTGAATACACTGATAATGGGTGATGGGCTGTAGGAAAAAGAAGTTCCAGATTTGGGGAGGGACTCTGAAGTAACCCAGGAAGTGGAAGGGTGGGAGGGCTGGGAGAGGAAGGGAGACAGGGGGCTTCCTAGCTAATGCTGACAAGTTGGGGCGTCAGAGAGAAAATTATCAATGAGTAGAGCAAAGCCGTGTCTCATTTGAGAACTGTCCCAGACCTCCAGACCTCATGCCCTCTGCCTGCTTCTGTGTACTAACCTCTGCCTTGTGGGGGTGGGGGGTGGAAATGGGATTTAGGAGCCTTCATCGCAGGGGTGCCTGTGCAGCCTGTCCTCATCCGCTACCCCAACAGTCTGGTGAGTCTTAGTCCAAGAAAGCGTGGAAAGGGGGAGCACAAATCCACCCCAAATGGAAATAAGTGAAAACTGTTGGTGCTATGATGGGATGTGCACTGGGGGTGTGACCAGAGGTGGGATCAGGCCCTCTGCTCGAAGGTGATTGGCCAGTTCCAAGGGGGAAAAGTAATGCTCTTATGCCCTCACCTCTGTTTCTCCCATAGGACACCACCAGCTGGGCATGGAGGGGTCCTGGAGTGTGAGTTCTGGTGTTTCTGGGGTGAGGGTGGGGAGCAGGGTCCATCAGAGAATTCCTGACCCATCTTCCAATCTCCAGACAAGGTGAATGGCCCTTCTTCATCTGAGGACTAACAGAACTCCAGAGGAGACACCACTTTCCCCCTGATGTCCCCATAGAATCTGGCTGTGTTTAGATTAGCTATCCCACCTAAATTGTTCCTGCTGTAATTATGGCTCCTATGCACTTATTTTCCCGTGTTTCTGTGATTTTCTCCCTCGATTATCCCTTCTTGAGAACCCTCACCATCAGGCATGCCTCTTGCCGTTTTCTTCCATTACTCAAACCTCCTCTTGCCCACAGTTCTTCCTCTGGCACATCCATGCAGCTCTGCTCTCGTTCTCTACCGCGTTTCTGGCCCTTCCATGTGTCTCCCAACTGCATATTCACCCACCTGACTGTATGTCTAGGAGTCCATCCCTATATCAACAGGCAGAACTCTTCCCACTCCCCACCTGGGTTGGGGAAGGGGAGTGGGGTGTGGGAGCCAGGGAAGGAGCCCATAGTTAGAGATTGGTGAGCATCGAAATCTCTCTTCTCTTAGACTCCAGGTCCTCTGGCTCACAGCCTCTCAGCCCTGCAGCACTGTGGATGTGGAGGTATGGCTCCCATGGGTGGGGTGGGAGAATGGACATCTCACACTCCTGAAACCTTGGGAAAAGAGGGTGGGAGTGGTCATACCTCACTCTGAGGTTCTGATAAGAATTGTGTGTGTCTGTGTTTCAGTTCCTTCCTGTGTATCACCCCAGCCCTGAGGAGAGCAGGGACCCCACCCTCTATGCCAACAATGTTCAGAGGGTCATGGCACAGTGAGTGCCCCACAAAGTATTTCCTGGAGCAGTTGCACAGGGCAAAGGAGCCACCAGGGGGTGGAGGGGGAGGCAGGGTTTTCAGGCATAGATTGTGGAGCAGGCAGTGGGAAGGGCTGTTGAACAGCTGAGACAGAGGAGGGGAGATTTAAAGGGGCCTGATCTACTCCAGTCAGCTTGCCAGGGTCAGGAACCAACCCTCAGAAGTTTCTCTGCTTCCTTCCCCTCCATCCCATCCCTCTTCATCCTGTAGGGCTCTGGGCATTCCAGCCACTGAATGTGAGTTCGTAGGGAGCTTGCCTGTGATTGTGGTGGGCCGGCTGAAGGTGGCGTTGGAGCCACAGCTCTGGGAACTGGGAAAAGTGCTTCGGAAGGCTGGGTAAGTGGTTTTGAAAATGAGGGTGTGAGCAGTGTCACAGAGAGAGAGAGGGAGAAACAGCGAGTAGGAGGGGGAGAAATGAGAAGCAGGAAGGAAAATCTTAAAAATGAAAAAATCTGGAAAGAAAGATAATGGAGTAAATAAAAGGAAATAGGGAATAAATGGAAGGATATGTAATAACGCAGGTGAAAAAAGTAAGAAGGGCTCTCAAGGGACTATGAGTCAGTACATCTTAGAAAAACAGCAGCTGAACCTGTACTGGTGGAACTCTTGGTACTGGGGCTGAAGTCCTGCTCGATGGTGTGTCCAGAAGGAAACTGCGACAGCTCTCTGCCTTCAACAATTCCATTGTAGGCTGTCCCCTGGCTATGTGGACGCTGGGGCAGAGCCAGGCCGGAGTCGAATGATCAGCCAGGAAGAGTTTGCCAGGCAACTACAGCTCTCTGATCCTCAGACGGTGGCTGGTGCCTTTGGCTACTTCCAGCAGGTAAAGGAGCTGGAACAAAGAGCAGAGCAGAACCCAGGCTTCCCTCCAGGCTGCCACGTTCCTAGTGGCCGTATCAGTCACTCACAGTTTGGAGTCCTCAGTGCATGTTCTAACAGCTGTTGCTAGATGGCCATCCCCTGAAATCCACTGAAGATTTGTTGTTTAATCAAGCATTAAGAGCAATGTTATCATTATGAGGACGAACAAGGTAGAAATAATCAGTGAGGACTATAAATTGCTGAAACCACTTGAGGGAGTGGCAAAGGTGGGGAATCATAAGACCTTGCGGGGCACTGGGTGAGGGTCTTTGAAGAAGAGCCATGAAGGTTACGTGGGAAGATGACACGTAGAAGCAACAACACTGGACAGTTAGATGGTTGAGAGCTTGAGACCCACATATATCTGTAGGACTTGGGCAGATTATTTTAAATATCCTATAGCTTCTCTAGAGGAATTTTCTCAAGATTCTTAGCAAGCCATGTATTTCTCAAGATTTGACCAAGTTCCCCGGTCAACTTACAAAAGTCCTAAAAGATTCTTAATGCTTATGAACAACCAACAATGGTCCCAAGGAGCTTTTTGATCTGAGATGCAGAATGTGACCCTCAACATCCTCTGAAGGGACAGAGTGACCACGTGCCTAGATTCCTTAGATTGAGGCAGACTGTCCCTGAAAAGAGCTTGCCCCACTTGGCCTGTAGCAGAGCAGAAACAAATTCAGATGCTGTGGTCTCCCGTGGGGCTGGCACAGCAGGCGTGCTTCTCGCGTTTTTCATAAAAAATTATGCCTGTGGCCCCCTTTCAGTCTGTTGGACCAGTTCTTCTGCATAGGCTGAGTCAGAGAACCAGTTTGTCTAGCCTGGGGACCAGGACTGCTGGCATGTCAGAAACTTCATGGTAGCTTCAGCGTTCCTGAGGGATTCCCTTACATTCCTAGGAGATTCCTTTGTGGGAGGGCTTTGTCACCAGATGACCTGAGAGAAATTCCAGCGATCCTAAAGAGTTTGGGGCTCACAGTTCTGAGGGGAGCAATCACAGGGATCACCCCTACTATTTGCTGAGAAGAGGAAAAAGTCAAAATCCAAAGAGCAGGAAGAGGGGTGCAGGGTCCCCACATTGCCCTGGTTTCTTTTTCACTCCAGGATACCAAGGGTTTGGTGGACTTCCGAGATGTGGCCCTTGCGCTAGCAGCTCTGGATGGAGGCAGGAGCCTGGAAGAGCTGACTCGTCTGGCCTTTGAGGTACTGGGGGGCGGCGGGGGGGTTGTGCTTAGTGGCTATGCTCACCCCACTCTAGGAGGCCCGTTCGGGTATGCCGTTCCCGGTAGCTTCTAGATAGTAGGCACCTGGTATCCAACCGAGTACCACAGTGCCTAAAACTGCAGACCCCCAGCCTCTATGCTGAGGCCTAGCCGGGAACGAGAAGAAGGAAGAAGAAGGAAAAAGCTATAAAGTCTACAGTTCTGCAGAAAGGGCACTGAGGGTCAGGGAAGGCTTGTGCACCACCCTTTTGGAAGAGGAGGAGCCTGTCAGGCCAGTCTGTGGGGCAGGGTGAGGCCATGGCACGAGGAGAGAACTTGACTCACATCCCTTTCTCTCCCAAGCTCTTTGCTGAAGAGCAAGCAGAGGGGCCCAACCGCCTGCTGTGCAAAGCCGGCTTCAGCACCATCCTGCACCTGCTGCTGGGTTCGCCCCGCCCTGCCGCCGCAGCTTTGCATGCTGAGCTGTGCCAGGCGGGACCCAGCCGAGGCCTGTCCCTGTGTGAGTCACTGCCTTCTGAGCCCCGCACGGGCACTTGGGGCACCGCCAGCATCCAGGAAAGCCCTGGGCTGGGAGGGAACAAGGGTCAGTGACCAGTGCTGGCGATCAGAGCCTGTGAGAAGTGAGGCTGGGAGGAACAGGCTGGAAAGGAAGAGAGGACACAAACCTGGATATGAGAAGTTAAACACGGTAGAGGGACAGGATGTTTCAGTTCTGAGAAAAGAGCCGGGGGATTCTCTTCTCGTTCTTAGATCTTTTCACTTTTCCACATCTCTGATTTGTCCAGGTCAGTTCCAGAACTTCTCCCTCCATGACCCACTCTATGGGAAGCTCTTCAGCACCTACCTGCGCCCCCCACACACTTCTCGAGGCACCTCCCAGACACCAAATGCCTCATCCCCAGGCAGCCCCACTGCTCTGGCCAACGGGACTGTGCAAGCGCCCAAGCAGAAGGGAGACTGAGCGCCTCAGCCTCCCGCCCCTCCTCCTCAGGGCAGCACCAGGGGTCTCCCCTGTGCCTCAGCCCCCCTCCACCGGCAGCGCCAGGGACCTCCCCTATGCTCAGCCCCTCTCTGCTCCTGTTTGAATTTTGTTATTGTTGTTTGGTTGATTTTTTTTAAGTTGATTTTAATTTTTTGTTTGGTTGATTTTTTTTTTTTTTGTAAAAAACTATTTTATATATAAATATAAATCTATATCTATTAAAAAAAGGAAGTCCAGTCACATTGATGTTATCATTACTTGGGAAGGAAAGGGATGAATGGTTGTAGGACGCCTGTTGGAAGATCCCGAAGGTTTCCAAGGTTCGTCCTCTTGGCCAGAGCTGGATGAGTCTTCCTCACTATCAGATGGACAGGGCTCCTTCCTGTACAGAAATCATACTGAGGTTCCATATCCTCCCTCCTGCTGTCCTCTCCTATATGTACATTTTAACAGACTTCTCCGCGAACCTCTTTTCAGCGCATTCCCTCTTGTTCTGTCCTCATTAGAGATTAAAAAATAGCTTGCTACCATTCCATATTTAATAATCCTACTGAGACTTGATTCCATCGCCCCTAGTGGAAGCAAGGAGCTGTCAGTAAGGAAGCAGCCTCCTCCCTGCAGGTCAGACCAGCCACACAGGAGGGCTTCTCTGCCACAGGATGAGTAAGGACACTGAAGTCCTTTCTGTCCAGCCTCTTTTCAAGGAAGAAAACAAGACCCCCTAGAGACACAATTATGGACAATTAGAAAATTAGGGCGGGCATGGTAGCTTATACCTGTAATCCCAGCACTCTGGGAGGTTGGGGCAGGCAGATGGCTTGAGCCTAGGAGTTCAAGACCAGCCTGGATGATGTGGTAAAACCCCATCTCTAAAAAATAGAAAAATTAGCCGGACATGCTGGTGCACACCTGTAGTCCCAGCTACTTGGGAGGCTGAGATGGGAGGATTGTCTAAGCCCAGGAGGTTGAGGCTGCAATGAGCCATCATTATGCCACTGCACTCTGTAGTTTAGGCTACAGAACGAGACCCTGTCTCAAAAAAAGAAGAAAATTAGGTCCTGTCTCAGATCTAACAGGTAGAAAAGCATCTTTCTATCTATAGACTTAAAGGGAGGCAGATAATTAAAAGATGCCCAGATAAGCCTTCGTGACGCCAAGTCCAGGCTTGTGAAGAGGGGATGTATGAAGCGGTCATGGGAGATTCCTCAGTTTGGGGACTTATCACAGCCTGAGAGCCAGCCTGTTGCCAGGAGGAGGCTGCAAGGAGCCAAGATAAGGCTGGAGACAAGGTAAGCTCTATGGATTTGTAGAATCTAAGACTACCCCTACAGCCTGTCTTTCTAACATCTTACCCTATCTAGCAGCAAAGACACGAGTACAGAAAAAGGCACTTTGAGAGCATTTTCCAACAAAAACACTTTATTCGTTTTCTTTCTCTATAGCTGCTTCCAAAGGTGACGCCCCCTGCAGCCTAGCCAGTCTGACCTCTCTCTCCATGCTTGCCAGTTTTGCAGAACAACAAAACAACATTGGGATGAGATTCAACATTGGGATCTCCATTGGTGGGCAGCAGGGCTGGAATCTACTCTGGGGCACCCACCTTTAGGGACTGGCAAGTGGGGTCAGATGGTCCTGCTGCTCCCTGCTGGCTGCAACGTTGTTTCTTCCTTCTGCCTGTGGCAAAACTGTCACACCGCCTTTTACGAGGCTGTGAGGCTCGAACTACTCCCAGGGCTAGGGGTTTCTCCCTGCGGACCCCAAGTTGAGCTCCCGAGTGGGATCTCTTTTCAGTAGGGGCTGGACCTCCAGCTAGAGCTCGCTTCCCAGACTTGGTAACGGGACATGGAGGTTTGCTGGGGCCTTTTGCCCTGGCAGGGAGCAGGTGGGATGTTCTCTGGCTGCCCTGACCTGAGGCATGGTGAGGACTGAGAGGATGCCCCCTTGGTGAGAGGCTAAGTTTAGAGGCCAAGAGGTAAGCAAAGTTGGAGAGTTCCTCATCCTCTTCCTCTGCTTCCTTCTTCTTTTTCTCCTTCCCTTTGGCCCTATCTGCTGACCTGCGTGTTTTACTAACAGAAGTCTCTCTCAGAACTATGGCATCCCTGGTTCTCCATCTAGGGAAAGTGCTTCCAAGGCCCTGGTGAGATGATGTTTTGGGGGTCCCAGCTGTGTAAGACTCCTGACTCTCTTGTAAAGGAGCAAGGTTTTTAGGCTTGGACAGGTCAGGATCCACCCTGCCTTCTCCTTGGGGGTCATAAGAATTAACATTCAATGGGCAGGTGTCCTTCCTGACCCTTAGTTGGAGGCCACAGTCATCTTTAACACCTAGTATGTTGACCGGTTCTATGGTTTCCAACAGAGGAGAAAAGGAATTGCCTCTGCTTCCTGCCTCTTGGCTGGCTTCAGGCAAGGAGGAGGCATCCTCGGTCCCCATGATAAGGACACTGTCTTGGCATGTGGGCAGAAGGGTTTCTTTGGAAGACCCCAGTGTGGAACCGCCAATTCTGCTTTCCAGCAATGGGAAGCAGCCTCCTGCCTGCAGATCACTGGGGTCCCCTGTGGTTTCATGGCTCTGCTCTTGATTTTCTTTGGACCTCAAGGCTGGGCTGTTGGCCCTCAAAGGTCCTGGCAAGCTGCAATCGTTTCTCTTTTCTAGGGCAGCTGCCGCAACTGTGCCTCCACAGGGCATCACACTGCTCTCCGTACCCCCAGGTACTATGGTTTCTGCAGGACCCAGGGAAATGCTGCCGCTGGAGTCCAGGCCCTGGCAGCCTTCCTGACACTCAGTTACACACGCCTCCGCTTGGAAGCTCTCTATGATCTCCTCTCTGTGTACGGGCAGCTCCAAGTCTACGGCAGCCATCTCACCGCTCAGCCAAAGTCCTGGGCTGAGAGAGACGTCGTCCCTGTCCCCAGCTGCTCTAGGGGAAGGATTCTGATCATAACTCTGAGCCATGGGGGTACGTCTGTCATCTCCCCACATGGCTCCTGCAGAGCCTTCCTGGGGCACTGCTAAAGGCTCCTTCCCTTCAGGAAGCCCTGCACGACCCCCCGTTTGTTGTCCTTTCTGCAGTCCCAGGACTTGCTTGTCTAACCCTCGTCCCTGCAGAGGAGCCAGCTCTGCGAGTCCAGCATCCAAACTGGGAGTGCTGTCAGGCTGGAAGCCTTCCTGCCAGCAAAGGGGCAGAGCCTCTGAAGTCCCATCAGCCACCAGGCAGCGCCCAGGCGGCCCAGCGCCTCCTAGATGGCCATCTCGAAGTCGCGATCCCTGGTTTATAACCTTCCCGGACCCTCTCCTCGCCATACCCAAGGGTCCCAGAGTTCCCTGGAGAGCTGCAGGTTCTGGCTGCAGGGCCCAGCTGCGGGCGGATGGCAGAGTGTTCCCATCCCTGTGCATCCCTCTGGGGCTCCCTAGGCCTTGCTCCTGCCCACCATGCACTTCTCTTGCCCGTTTTCCTGAAGAAGAAACCTTTCCAAGGCAAATGGCGCCCCCAGCCCCCTGAAGCCCAGGTGAGGGTCGAAGCCGCCCATCCCCATCTTCATCCTCATCAGAAACAGAAGGACTGGAGTCCAACTGAGCTCCACTGTAACTTGGAGGCGCCTCTGCATCTTCCTCCTCTTCTAAGGCCAAGAGTCGCTTCTGGACCAGCTGGAAGAAATGGACAAATAATCCGTGCTATACGTGATTGTGAAAGAGGTGACTGAGTGGGTGGTACAAGATGGTATTTGGGCAGGGCAAGGAAGGCAAGCAAGTAGTTTAAGCGATGGTAGCAAAGACAGATACTGCAGCTCTTTCCCACCTCCTTGTGCCCTATTCCCCTGCTGTGAGCCCTTACATTCTCATTTCCTGTGTTTCCATAGCCCTCTACCTACTTGTTCTGCACCTGCAGCCCAGTCCTGAAGCTGTTCATCTCTAGAGCCGTATCACCCTTGGCAGTGTAGGGTTAGATAAAATCTTGCAAGCTTCTTGTTCTCATATTTCGTATACCCCAGTTTTACCTGGGCAAGAGTGAGTCCTTCTTCTTGCTCTAGCTCCTCAATTAAGGCCAAGGGATCTCTCTGTTTTTCTGGGGACAGCAGATCTGCCAGAAATTGAGGGTGAATGACGGCCTCCACCTGGATAACAGAAGGAAAAGTGATGTAAGTCTGTAAGCAGGTAACCTGTGAAACAAGGGGCTTTAGAGAAGAAACCATGAGCTCCCCAACTGTCCCCTCTTACCCCTCCAGTATTGTAAACTGACCACCACCGGCTACACACATTCTCATGATGATGCATGCACACACATTACTCAGTTACAGAACAAAACCTAATTCCTACTACCTTGGACAAACCCCAGATCATTAGTTCCCGGGAGTACCCACCCCAAGGATCTGCTAGAAACCAGATGTGCAGGCCCAGCTCACCTTGGAGACAAAGACCTTCTGAGAACACAGCTCATTGATGTAGCTCAGGAGACCTGGATCTGGATACATGCCTTCCTCCTCCTGCTGCTGCCCTTCTTCCTCTTGTTTTCCATCTGACTCCCCAGTGGCCAGTTGAGTCCCCACCAGCCCTTCCATGATGTCAATATACTCCTTTACAGCTTCTGGTGGGATCTCCTTGGGCGCCTCAGGAACAGGAGGTCTCTGGGCTTTACGCTGCCGCCGGCGGGGGGCCCGTGCCTTGGAGGCTGCCTTCTTCGGAATGTACACTAAGGGAAGAGATAGATAGGAGAATGGGAAGTAGCACAGAAACGACAGCTTCTGCCTCCCAGCTCTGTGAGGCCAGCAATCTAGGTACATTGAAATGGCTCCAGGCTGGATTGGGCCAACCTGAAAAAGTGCCAGCCATGGGAGATTTAGGACCTAGAGGGCCTAAGAATCACTGTATGAGGAATTTTGGAATCCCTGAAATTCCAAGAAACCCCCTGATCCAGCCCCCATTTCTTAGGCAGATGAGGTATTATGTGCTGAATTTAGAGTCTTGGTGAGAGCAGTTAGTTCACTTGACCAACATCAATACCTAGTTCAGGGCAAAAGGAACCTGAGAACCCAGCGTCCTATGGGGTGGTCTGCTTGGAATATCAAATGCCACTCTCCAGAGGGAAAGCGGCAGAGCCTGGGCCATGCCTTCTCTAATCTGTGACTGGCTTCTGTACACCTCCCTTTGAGCCTTGGGCCCACGGCTCCTGTCAAAATTGGGTAGCCTCACCTGGCTGCTGGCAAACCTCAGAGGCCAGGGGCCCTAGAGGATCAAGTTTCAAAGGGGCTGCAGGAGACAGGCCCTGAGAGCCATTCATCAGCTGTGAGTTCTGAATCTGCATCTCCTCAGCCTCAAACTCCATGAACCTGCAGAGGGTGAGAAAGGCATAGGCAATGCTAAGAAGGAGACCAGACCCGTCAGAAATCCAGACGACAGTCAAGCATGGCTAAGAAAGGAAGTGCTCTCAGGTGGGCAAAGTCTGCCTAAGTCATGTCACCCAGGAGGGTGGTCACAGGTGGCTTAACCATATTTCCAGGGAAACTTCGGGAGCTCAGCACATAGTTCCTTTCCCTATAGTCATCACTTAGGAAGCTTAAGAAAATGAATGGCCAGGTGGGGTGGCTCATGCCTATAAACCCAACACTTTGGGAGGCTGAGGTGGGCAGATTGCTTGAGCTCAAGAGTTTGAGACCAGCCGGGCTTGGTGGCTCAAGCCTGTAATCCCAGCACTTTGGGAGGCCGAGACGGGTGGATCACGAGGTCAGGAGATTGAGACCATCCTGGCTAACACGGTGAAACCTCGTCTCTACTAAAAAAAAATGCAAAAAACTAGCCGGGCAAGGTGGCTGGCGCCTGTAGTCCCAGCTACTCGAGAGGCTGAGGCTGGAGAACGGCGTGAACCTGGGAGGCGGAGCTTGCAGTGAGCTGAGATCCGGCCACTGCACTCCAGCCTGGGCGACAGAGTGAGACTCCGTCTCAAAAAAAAAGGAGTTTGAGACCAACCTGGGTAACACGGCAAAAATCCATCTCTACAAAAGATACAAAAAAATTAGCCAGGAGTGGTGACGTGCGTCTAATCACAGCTATTGTGGGGCTGAGATGGGAGGATTGCTTGAGCTCAGGAGGTGAAGGCTGCAGTGAGCCCTGACAGTGCCAGTGCACTCCAGGATGGGCAACAGAGTAGGATCCTGCCTCAAAAAAAATTTTAAAAAGTAAAGAGTGAGGACGGGTGCAGTGGCTCATGCCTGTAGTTCCAGCACTTTGAGAGGCTGAAGTGGGCGGATCGTGAGGTTAGGAGTTCGAGACCAGCCCGGCCAACATAGTGAAACCCTGTCTCTACTAAAAATACACAAAATTAGCCTGATGTGGTGGTGGGCACCTGTAATCCCAACTACTCAGGAGGCTTAGGCAGGAGAATCACTTGAATCCAGGAGGCAGAGGTTGCAGGGAGCTGAGATTGCACCATTGCACTCCAGCCCTGGCAACAGTGTTACACTTTGTCTCAAAAAAATAAAAATAAAAAATAAGAATGATCTAGAGCTTGTAAACTTCTCTTGGACAGAGCCAGGGCTTTCACTACTTTTTATTTATTTATTTTTAATTTTGAGATGGAGTTTCACTCTGTTGCCCAGGATGGAGTGCAGTGGCGCAATCTTGGCTAACTGCAACCTCTGCCTCCCGGGTTCAAGTGATTCTCCTGCCTCAGTCTCCCGAGTAGCTGGGACTACAGGTGCATGCCACCATGCCTGGTTTTTTTTTTTTTTTTTTTTTTTTTTTGTATTTTTAGTAGCTAAGGGGTTTCACCGTGTTAGCCAGGATGGTCTCGATCTCCTGACCTCATGATCCGCCTGCCTCGCCCTACCAAAGTGCTGGGATTACAGGTGTGAGCCGATGTGCCTGGCCTCACTTCTTTTCCATACCTATCTCACCCAGCTTCATGGATTGTACACAGCAGTGCTTAATATAGGCTTGTTTAATTTAATCAGGCCTATGCAACAGCCTGGTGGGATCTCACAGTGGGATCCTCCTCGAGACCTCATTTGCCCCTGCCTACAACCATAAAGAATTCAAGGCAGTTCCTGCCAGGAGACAAGGCTGAGATCCCACAGTCCTGAGACTGGGATGGGGGTTCTTGAAAAGGTAAGTCTACGAAGCACGGGTCCAAAAGGTTTTGGGAGGGAGCAAGTGGAAGCTAAACTTGGAAAAATGCGTTCATTTTTCTGAGTTTTTTCTTTCCCTCCCTCCCTCCCTCCCTCCCTCCCTCCCTTCCTTCCTTCCTTCCTTCCCTCCCTCCCTCCCTCCCTCCTTCCTTCCCTCTCTTTCTTTCTTTCTTACTTTCTTTCTTTCTCGACTGAGTTTCGCTCTTGTTGCCAAGGCTGGAGTGCAATGCACAATCTCGGCTCATCGCAACCTCCACCTCCTGGGTTCAAGCGAGTCTCCTGCCTCAGCCTCCTGAGTAGCTGGGATTACAGGCATGCACCACCACACCTGGCTAATTTTGTATTTTTAGTAGAGACGGGGTTTCTCCATGTTAGTCAGGCTGGTCTTGAACTCCCAACCTCAGGTCATCCACCCACTTCGGCCTCCCAAAGTGTTGGGATTACAGGCATGAGCTACCATGCCTGGCCTTTTTTTTATTTTTCTTTCTTTCTTTTTCTTTTTTTTTTTTGAATCAAAGATATTACAGAGAAATAGAATAAGAGCCAGGAGACAACTGTGTGCATCCCGGACACTGGCTTTCCCTGGCTCTTCCAGAACCAGCCCCTCGCTGGGATAAAGGGGGAAAGGGATTTTCTGTGCCACTGTTTCCAATGGAGGAGCGGTCCTGAAGTTCTGTATCAATAGCCACTTGCTACCAAGTCAGTGGGAAGAGACAAGAACCTGCCTGGTAGAGCATACCTCCTCATTACTAGGTCCCTTCAGCATGAAATTGCTATACCCATTGGGGTCCAATCCCATCCTAAGATCTACAGTATCAAGGCTCCTATACAGATTCAGGATCTGGTGACGGGGGAGCTTTCAAGAGGAAACACGATAGAAAAACCCAAGAATCAAGGTGGTGGAGGAAGAAGCAAGGATCCAGGAAACCACCATTCTAGTCTACACCCCTCCTCCCCACCCTGTTTTTCTTTCCTTTCTTTCTCTCTCTTTTTTTTTTTTTTTTTTTTTTTGAGATGAGGTCTTGCAGTGTTGTCCAGGCTGGTCTTGAACTACTGGGCCCAAACCATCCTCCCACCTTAGCCTCTCAAGTAGCTGGGACTACAAGCACACACCCAGCCTAACATCTTTTTTTTTTTTGAAATGGAGTCTTGCTCTATCGCCCATGCTGGACTGCAGTGGCATAATCTTGGCTCACAGCAACCTCCACCTCCCAGGTTCAAGCGATTCTCCTGCCTCAGCCTCCCGAGTAGCTGGGACTACAGGCACGTGCCACCATGCCCAGCTAATTTTTGTAATGTTTTTTCCAGTAGAGATGGGGTTTCACCATGTTGGCCAGGCTGTTCTCGAACTCCTGACCTCAGGTGATCCACCCGCCTCAGCCTCCCAAAGTGGTGGGATTACAGGCGCCAGCCACCATGCCCCGCCCTAACATGGCTTTTGATAATTGACCCCACCCGAGTCTCTCAGCTGCCCCTACTGCTCTCAGCCCACAGCCTCCCTCAGGAGAATGAAGGTTCATCGAACTCACCTTTCCGCCATCTCGTAAAATATCATCCGGTCAAAGTTGCTGGTGTGCTCCCACTCCTGCACGGCCAATGGCAGTCCCTCCTCCAGGGTCATAGTGGGCTTCCGCCGGGCCAGGGAACGAAGCACTGGGCTAAAACCCCCATTGAGTCAGTCACATTCTAAAAGTGTGCTCCCATCCACCTGCCCTTACACCTGCCTCAATAACACATCCCCTGCCCCTCATCAAATCTATCGTGCCCCTCAGGCCCTGTCATGTCCCACTTCTGATTAGACTTACAGACGCTCAACCTCCCAACCATTCATTTACCATACTCGCCCCTCTTCCTGTTGAAATTTACAACTAATATAAAATCAAACAGATAATTCTTCTCCCCACCTTTTAAAATCAACCGCAGCTACCACCCCTAATTCTCACAGTGCCATCCTCAATTAATTATTAGAAAGGGAGGACTCGTGCTGGGCGCGGTGGCTTATGCCTGTAATCCCAGCACTTTGGGAGGCCGAGGCGAGTGGATCACGAGGTCGAGAGATCGCGATCATCTTGGCCCACATGGTGAAACCCCATCTCTACTAAAAATACAAAAATTAGCTACTCGGGAGGCTGAGGCAGGAGAATGGCTTGAACCTAGGAGGCAGAGGTTGCCGTGAGCCAAGATCGCGCCACTGCACTCTAGCCTGGTGACAGAGCAAGACTCTGTCTCAAAAAAAAAAAAAAAAAAGGGAGGACTCATGTTATTAAATGAACGGGATTCGCTATAAAGTAGGTTTAACCTTGTCCAGAGGTTCTTGCTTTTTTTTTTTTTTAAGGCATTTGCTAACCCAAAGGAATCTCTAATTAAAGGTCGTGTGGTGTTTTTATTTATTGGTTTTTAGTCTTTGTTTCCAGATACCCCCCACAGACTGTCAAATGCCAGTACTAGACCCCCACTTCTAGAGGGCTCTTGAGCCCTTTCTAATCCAGAAGAAATCAAGAGCCCAGCCTAAAGTAAGGGCTTCATTTTGCCTCTCTGACTTCCCTTGGAGTCCGCAGATATTATTAAGCATCAGAATCACCTGGGGAAGCTCATTATCACCAAACTGCCCCTCCCCAGGATCCCACAGCTGAGCATTTTAGGAGCTTCCCAGGCTGCAGTGGTCTCGACTGCCCTTTGTGGAAGACCCTGCCCAGAGCCGCTGAGTGTGAAGCACAAGCAGGCCAGGACCCGAAGCAAATGAATCCCATGCAAACCTTGAGAGCCCATACTGGTTCAAGATTTTGAAATGTAGCCTGCTAGGCTCCAAGAGTGAACTCAGATCTGTCTGGAGAAAGCAGGGAGTCAGGAAGATGCTGTACATCTAGGACTTTAGGGGAACATCTTGATTCATTTGCTCCAAGTTCGGGGTAGATTCCAAGGGGGAGATTCCTTTAGGAGTTCAGCCACTGGAAGAGCACTATGTAAATTTGTTTAAAGCAATATAATGTGGTGTGTGTTACAGAGTGGCTTACACAAAACGCTGAGGGCATAGGGCAGTTGAGAGGGACAGTGGGTCTGGGTGGGAAGGAAAGACTATTCCCCAGCTGAGCAAAGACTGTTTTGTAAACTCAGCAGCCTAGGACCCGGGGCTCCTTGGCTAAACATACACTCGCTCTTAAGCAAGGACGTTTTGACCTTTTGCGAGTTCTTTTCCTCTTCTGGATTGCCTTTTTATGATAATAATAAAATAGCTGACATTTAATGAAACATTCTCTGTGCCAAGGACTTCACATATATTAACCCATTTGATCTTCTCAGCAACTGTGTGAAGTAGGTAGAGTTATCCCGCTTTTTACATGAGAAAACTGAGGGTAAAGATGTTAAATGTCCTGCCCAGGATCACAAATGTCAAAAGGTAGTAAAATAGAACGGCGGGGCGGGGTGGACCCTGGCACTTAGAGTGAGAGCCTAAGTTCCCATCACTGGTCTTTGGTTTATGGCAGGAGCCCTCTCTGAGCTTCAGTCTCTTGTCTGTACATGAAGATGACCAGAGAAAGGCTGGCCTGAACTCAGTGTTGTGAGGATCACTTAAGCTAAGACACCTGAAAGGTTGTTATCAACTAGGAAGTGGGTTAAGGGGCTGTTATTATTAACAACATGTTTTTCATTCTCAGAGCATCTCCACTGCCCTCATGACCTTCCCTCCAGTATTCCTAAATAACCTAAACTACTACATTCACCCCAAAGTTCTCCTTATTTAAAAGCCCTAGAATAATTAATCTCAGGTCTCCCCACTTACATAAGAAAACAGGACAGAGCTTCTGTGTCAGGACTTTGGGATAGGTGCCTCCGGGCCAAGGCTTTGTAACGCTGCCATCGACGGAAGTTCTCATACACATCCTTGGAAATTTTGGAGCGGTCACCTAGTGGAGGCTTGGATAGAGTGGCCACAGGACCGCCTTCCCTGGTTGTCCCATGTAGCCCTGGCCAAGCTTTTTCCAGGGGCACAATGGGGACCAGTTGAGCAACTGGTGGTGGAGCCTGAGGTGGAAGGCCTGGAGGGCCCTCCTGGCCGACACCAACAGCCTTAGAGGGCAGAATGGTCTTCATATTAGATGCTGTCACAAATGGAGGTGCAGGACCCTCAAGACCCCCACAGGGAGTGCCCGGGGCAATCGAATTGAGGGCAGTCTGAGTAAGGATAAAGTTCTGAGTTTGAGAGGGCTCAGCTGATCCCCCATCTGTCTTGACTTTGACAATGACCTTGCCAGCCCCAGCCCCACTGAGGCAAGGGCCCCCGTCCCCTGTCACCAACAGTGAGCTGGGGAAAGCAGAGAGCATCAGAGGATTGTCTGGAGAGAATACTGAAGGCATGATGGGCTGTGGAGGTGGCTCCCCGGGTAGGTGATCTGGCAGACCAGAAGCTGGTGGGAGAAAGGGAAGTGCAGGCGATGGAGACGGGGCAGCACTAGGTTTCATGCTCATATCCGGTCCCGGCAACGGAGATGCTGTTGAGACAAAGAAAAAGAAGAAATGGAGTAGGAGAAAAGAAGACCAGAGTTAGCCATCTGAATTCCCCATTTTATTTTTATTTTTATTTTTATTGTTTGAGACGGAGTCTCTGTCACCCAGGCTGGAGTGCAGTGGCGCGATCTCGGCTCACTGCAAGCTCCATCTTCCAGGTTCACGCCATTCTCCTGCCTCAGCCTCCCGGGTAGCTGGGACTACAGGTGCCCGCCACCACGCCTGGCTAATTTTTTGTATTTTTAGTAGAGATGGGGTTTCACCATGTTAGCCAGGATGGTCTCGATCTCCTGACCTCGTGATCCTCCCTCCTCGGCCTCCCAAAGTGCTGGGATTATAGGCGAATTCCCCCTTTATTTTTAAATTTTTTTTTCGTAGAGGCAGGGCACAGTGGCTCATGCCTGTAATCTCAGCACTTTGGGAGGCCAAGGAAGGAGGATTGCTTGACTCCAGGAGTTTGAGACCAGCCTGGGCATCATGGCAAAACCCTGTCTCTACTAAAAACACAAAAATAAGCCAAGTGCACTGGCATGCACCTGTAGTCCCAACTACCTGGGGGGCCTGGGGTGGAAGGATCACTTGAGCCCAAGAAGTGGAGGCTGCAGTGAGCTGAGATCGCGCCTCTGCACTCCAGCCTGCGTGACAAAGGAAAACTCTGTCTCAAAACAAACAAACAAACAAAACTGTAGAGACGGGGTCTCACTATGTTGCCTAGGCTAGGCTCAGACTCCTGGCCTCAAGTGATCCTCCTGCCTCAGCCTTCCAAAGTGCAGAGATAACAGGGATGAGCCACCACACCCCATCTGAGTTCCTCTTTAGACTCGAAGACTCAAAGCATTGATTCTCAACAGGTGAAAGAGGGGATAAGGATGGGGAACTTGTGAGGTTTGCAAATGTCCCCCAAGTGATTTTGATCTTACTCCTCGTTGAGAATGACTGCATTAAAGAAGCTGCTTCTTTTTCAACAAGACACACAGACCCCTGTCTGCCAAGAAGAGACAAGCCCAAGCCATCACTGCCTCTAAATGTTGCCTGCCTTCCTTTCCTTTCCTTTCCCTTCCTCTCTCTCTCTCTCTCTCTCTCTCTCTCTCTCTCTCTCTCTCTCTCTTTCTTTCTTTCTTTCTTTCTTTCTTTCTTTCTTTCTTTTTCTTTCTTGATGGAGTCTTTCTGTGTCACCCAGGCTGGAGTGCAGTGGCATGATCTTAGCTCACTGCAACCTCTGCCTCCCAGGTTCAAGTGATTCTCCTGCCTCAGCCCCTCAAGTAACTGGGATTACAGACGTGAACCACCACATCCAGCTAATGTTTGTATTTTTAGTAGATACGGGGTTTATGCCATGTTGGCCAGGCTGGTCTCAAAAACCTGACCTCAGGTGATCCACCTGCTTCGGCCTCCTAAAGTGTTGGGATTACAGGCGTGAGCCACTGCACCCGGTCCCCTAAGTGCTTCTCTAAGAAAATTCCTGGCAGACCTCTCCAGCCTCTCCATAGGCTGTTTACTAAGATACAGAATTGGGTTGACACCTGCTCTGCAGGGAAAACAGCCCACAGCAGCCTCCGTGCAGTAAGGGAACTAGTCCACGGTAAGTTCTAGCCCCTCTCGAGGCATCCATAAGGCCTTTGAGAAGGAGGCACTTTCAAAAATATGACTGGCTCAATCCCTCCTCCTTTTCCTTTTCCTGTTGCTTCTTATAAATCTCTCTTAACCTAAAACAACAGAAGAAAGATTCAATCCACAAGCAGGAGCAGTGACTCTAGGGCCCAAGAAGCTCAGACATCCCGTAACACACTCCACCCAGCATTACACGTACATCCCCTATGCTCCCCTATTCCAAACCAGAGATTTAAACCACCTGAACCCTGCTTCTCCCAGCTGCTCTGTGGCCTCTGCCACCACGCACAGAAGTACTGTTCCCAGGAGAGGATATGTGGATTGGATGTTTGGTTCCCAGAAATTTTGTTGTATAACAGCCAGGAATAATTAGAGAGGATTAGATAAGGACAAGGAAATGAGTGAAGGGAGGGCGGTGTGGGGAGAGAGGTTTCCAGATCTTTAAGTAACTGCTGGACGTGTTTGGCGATGCAGACTATCTGTGGTCCTTCTGGTTGGAGCTCCTAACGTCAGAAATTTAGGGCTCACTAGGAACGAGGCACTGAGCTAGGCGCTAAGGACAGGACAATGAAGTCCTTCATTGTCACAGTTCCAGCTGAGGAGGGGCTATGTGGACTCTAGTCAAAGAGACCAAGGATAAGTATACAAATGTGTACTTAATCAGAACCTATGTCTCCTAGGACTTTTTTTTTTCCCCCCCCGAGACAGAGTCTCTGTCACCGAGGCTGGAGTGCAGTGGCAAGATTTCAGCTCACTGCAACCTCTGCTGCCTCCTGGGTTCAGGCGATTCTCCTGCCTCAGCCTCCCGAGTAGCTGGAATTACAGGTGGGTGCCAACACACCCAGCTAATTTTTGTATTTTTAGTAGAGATGGGGTTTTACCATGTTGGCCAGGCTGGTCTTGAACTCCTGACCTCAAGTGATCCACCTCCCTCGGCCTCCCAAAGTGCTGAGATTACAGGCGCTTGAGGTCAGGAGTTAGACACCAGCCTGGCTAACTTGGTGAAACCCCGTCTCTACTAAAAATAGAAAAATTAGCTGGGTGTGGTGGTGGGCGCCTGTATCCCAGCTGCTCAGGAAGCTGAGGAAAGAGAATCGCTGGAACTCGGGAGGCAGACTTTGCAGTGAGCTAACATCACACCACTGCACTCCAGCGTAAGCGACACAGTGAGACTCCATCTCAAACAAAAACAAAACAAAACAAAAAAACAACAGTAGAATATAACCTGCTTAAATCTCCTCTCCTTTACAAAAAATATTACACTGTCAAACTAACAACACCCAACTTCTGCATTCTGACCATGGAACATGAGCAAACTCAGATTCAAACTCATTTGAGCCACAGAGCAGAGGGCTGAGGGTATGTCACTGAGTACAGAACACAATGAAAGGGGCCTGAAGGCCTGAGATCCATAAAAGGAAGAAAAACTAAGAGCATCTCAGTGAAGCCCCAGCTCTCATCCTGGCTGTAATGACCCACCTCTCTGGCCCAGATGAATCCGGAAAAACTGCTTCCTGAACTCAAAGCGAAGCCACCTCTAGGGCTGGAAGGAGCCGTGAGGCTCTGAGCAGAGGCAGTATTTATTTATTTATTTTTGAGACCGAGTTTCGCTCTTGTTGCCTAGGCTGGAGTGCAATGACACAATCTTGGCTCACCACAACTTCTGCCTCCCGGGTTCACGGGATTCTCCTGCCTCAGCCTCCCGAGTAGCTGAGGTTACAGGCATGCACCACCATGCCCGGCTTTTTTTTTTTTTGTAGTTTTAGTAGAGATGGGGTTTCTCCATGTTGGTCAGGCTGGTCTTGAACTCCTGACCTCAGGTGATCCGCCCGCCTCGGCCTCCCAAAGTGCTGGGATTACAGGCGTGAGCCACCGAGCCCGGCCAGAGTAGAGGCAGTTTATAATGCATTCCAGCCTAGTTTTCAGGAAGGCATTTCTCTGTAACGGATAACTACAGATTATCTTTTCCCGCTAAGGTCCTTCCCACCTTACCCTCCCATCCTCCATCCTCCACATCCCCTTCCCCTCATAAGCTCAAGCATGGCAAAATCCTAGAACAGGCTCCAGTTGCCTGAAAGAGACAGATGAACGTGGGCATTCCCCCTTGAAACCTCTCTGTGCCAGCCCTAACACACATACCTCTGATCCCCTCTCCCACCACAAAAACACATGCTGACGCGCCCCCTGTTCAACAGACTCAAGTTGCTAATTGCCATCCATTCTCTATACTTAGCGTGCGTCCTCGGAGACACCTTGATCTGCCCTTAAGGAGGTCCTCTTCCTTCCCCGGCCCCTAGTCTTAATGGTACAATCTCCTTCTCTAGCCTCTCCAAGTGGGATATCTTTGATGGGGTGTAGCACCTCGCATTTCTTTAGGTCAGCTCAAAGAGCTTATCCCAAAGGATATGAGCAGGTACCAGAAATCCTCCTCACCACCTAAAGACTTACCTCCATCTGAAGCCATCCTCTCAGGTTTGGGCACTAACCGTGGCTGTCTGGAAGCCTCCAGAATGAGGCAGTCAGGTCCAGGACCCAGAGTAACCTGGCTCCAAGTAGGTGCACAGGGATCCAAGGAAGGGAAGGTAAAGATCAGATCAAACAGAACTAGAATATGGAACTCAAGGCAGTCTGCTGTGGGGGAGGGGAGAGGGAAAAGTGGGGTGAGGGTGGGGAGAGATATTCCATGAAGGGTTCTAGTAACTGCAAAAACCAGGAGTTTCCTTCATACTACAGTTCGGCAACACAACTGATGTTCGCCCTTTAGGGCTATTTGTAAATTCTTAGATTCCCAACACATTACAGTTTTGCGTTTGGTTCCTTATACTTCAATTCTTCACCAACATATCTCATTTTGTGTCCTTCCATCCCAGCCAGTTCTGTAACTGACTCCCTATTAACAGCAGGTTGATGGTAGACCCCTGACTTAATCCAATGATGGCTATATTTTCCGAACTAAATTCAGACCACATTGGTCTGTATACTTAAGGATCAAGGGAACTAAAGTTTAAAATTAGAATTGTTAGATGATCCAAGGTGCTCGATTGCTGTGTGCACATCATTTCCTTGGAAAGCTGTCCAATCTACTAGCATAGGCTCTGTACTCCACAGAAGCCTTACCCTTTGCTGAAAAGCCTTACTAAATAAAAAAAGCTGCCATGCAGTTTAAAACCTCAAGAGTAGAAAGTCCTTCGTTTTGTTAAATCATTTTGGTGTAAATTTTAAAAATAAAATGTATCTGCTAAGGTTCCTGGTGACTATTTCAGGCCAGTAATTCCCAGACCATCCTCTACAGCCACAGCTTCATCCAAACGTGGATTTCCCCCCAAAAGTCCTTCCCTGGGGTTCATGGCGTCTTTCTTGCTTTCTCCGAGATATCTTTTCTCTTTTCTAAAGACTCTTTCATTAATAAGACCGGAAGGCTGAAATCATCCTTTTCCTTTCTAACAAAATTAACTACTTAGATATACTTTTTTTTTTTTTTTGAGACAGAGTCTTGCTCTGTCGCCCAGGCTGGAGTGCAGTGGCCGGATCTCCGCTCACTGCAAGCTCCGCCTCCCAGGTTCACACCATTCTCCTGCCTCAGCCTCCCGAGTAGCTGGGACTACCGGCGCCCGCCACCACACCCGGCTAATTTTTCTATTTTTAGTAAAGACGGGGTTTCACTGTGTTTGCCAGGATGGTCTCGATCTCCTGACCTCATGATCCACCCACCTCGGCCTCCCAAAGTGCTGGGATTAGAGGTGTGAGCCACCGCGCCCGGCCTTTAAAAAAATTTTAACAGGTAATACATTAGCAAGGCTCAAAAATCAAACTACAAAATAAAATACATAGCAATAAGTCTGCCTCCCACCCCTTACCCCTTTCTCCTGTAACTAGGTTCTCTATCCCAGAGGAAACTAGTATCATCTGTTTCTTGTGAATACTTGCAGAGATTTTTTATGCAACTACAAGTAAATACAAACCATATTCTTTTTTTTTTTTTTTTTGGGACAGGGTCTCTTGCTCTGTCGCCGAAGCTGGAGTGCAGTGGCGTGATCTCAGCTCACTGCAACCTCCGCCTCCCGGGTTCAAGCGATTCTCCTGCCTCAGCCTCCCGAGTAGCTGGGACTACAGGTGACCGCCAGCACGTCCCACTAATTTTTGTATTTTTATTAGTAAAGACGGGGTTTCACCATATTGGCCAGGCTGGTCTTGAACTCCTGACCTTGTGATCCACCTGTCTCGGCCTCTCAAAGTGCTGGGATTACAGGCCTGAGCTACCGCGCCCGGTCACAAACCATATTCTTTTTTTCAGACGGAGTGCCACTCTGTCACCCAGGCTGGTGTGCAGTGGTGCTATCTCAGCTCCCTGCAACCTCTGCCTCCCGGGCTCAAGTGATTCTCCTGCCTCAGCCTCTGAAGTGGCTGGGACTACAGGCGCCCACCACCACACCCGGCTAATTTTTTCTGTATTTTTAGTAGAGACGGGGTTTCGCCAGATTGGCCAGGCTGGTCTCGAACTCTTGACCTTGTGATCCGCCCGCCTCAGCCTCCCAAAGTGTTGGGATCACAGGCGTGAGCCACCGCGCCCGGCCAAACCATATTCTTAAAAAAAAAACAAAAAACCTTGCAGGTTTTTCTGGTTACACAATTAACATATATGCCAATGCTTTTGTCATTATAAATAAGGCGTAATGATGATCTTTGTAATGATATTTTGGTTCTCATTTTCATTTCTTTAAACGAATAAGGAGAACTTCTATATTCTTTAAAAAACTGTAAAATCTCCTAGAAGGTGCACTTTATTACGCTATTATTAGCTACTCACCACTATAAGAAAGAGCGCTGAATTTGCGGTAGGGACCTAAGTTTAAATCTTGGTTCGACCGCTGAAACATACTTCACCAGTTTCATAAAATAACTTTACGCTATTTTCGCTTTACGGAATATTGATACTCAACATGCATTCTTTACCGCCAACGCTTTGAAATGGAGCAGGGGAACTGGATGTAAAAGAGGGGAGGGAAGAAAACCTCTTCTTTCTTCCCTAGGGCAAAGGGGCACTGAATCCTGGAGCCCTTGTTTCTTCAGGCACTGGAAACTCACTGCTCCTGAAATGGGTGTGTATCTTGAGATAAAGACAAGCTTCTATACGTCAATGTTCTATCCACATCCATCCCTACCCCCCTCTAGCGCCGTGTACCTAGCACACAGTAGGCACACTCCACGTGTTTCAGCCTGCAAAGTTGCAAGCGTGGCCCCCAAGCCAAGCCCTGCTCTCGTGCGCCCCCTTCTGGCTAGCTGAAAATAAGGCAAAAATTGACTACATTTTCCGGCGTGCCAGGAGAGAGACTTCCGGCTATGCAGGAAGGAAATTGACGAACACGTGACGCGGTCGGGCGGACCACTGCAGACGGAGCGGCGGAGCGAATTGGGACCTCTGGCTTATGAGCAGTCATGTTTCTCCAGTATTACCTCAACGAGGAGGGAGATCGGGTCTATACGCTGAAGGTGAGGAGAGAAAACAGGTTGTAAATAGGCATGGCGAGAAATGTAGATGGGAGGAATGGGTGAGGCCATACACGGAGTTACCTAGCTGGGTGCAGGGAACCAGAAAGTCCAGAACCGAGGTGGGGGAGAACCGGGAGCGCGCGACGAATTTTTTAATTAAAAAAAAAAAAAATTGGCCGGGCGCAGTGGCTCACGCCTGTAATCCTAGCACTTTGGGAGGCCGAGGCGTGTGGATTGCCTTAGCTCAGGAGTTAGAGACTATTCTGGGCAACACGGTGAAACTACGTTTCTACTAAAATACAAAAAATTAGCCGGGCGTGGCGGCGTGCACCTGTTTTCCCAGCTACCTGGGAGGCTAAGACAGGAGAATCGCTTAAACCCGGGAGGCGGAGGTTGCAGTAAACCGGGATAGCGCCATTGCACTCACTTTTCCATTTTTTTTTTTTTTTTTTTTTTTTTTTTTTTTTTTTTTTTTTTTGAGACGGAGTCTGGCTCTGTCACCCAGTCTGGAGTGCAGTGGCCGGATCTCAGCTCACTGCAAGCTCCGCCTCCCGGGTTTACGCCATTCTCCTGCCTCAGCCTCCGGAGTAGCTGGAGACTGGCGCCCGCCACCTCGCCCGGCTAGTTTTGTATTTTTAGCGAGGCAGGAGTTTCCCGTGTTACATGAGATGGTCTCGATCTCCTGACCTCGTGATCCGCCCGTCTCGGCCTCTGAGAGACTCGCTTTGTTGCCTCGGCTCACTGCAACCTCCGCCTCCTGGGCTCAAACAATCTCCTACCTCAGCCTCCACAGTAGCTGGGACTACAGTGCGCCACCACACCTAGCTAATTTTTGGTTTAGGGTTTTTGTTTGGTTGGTTGGTTTTTGTTTGTTGTTGTAGAGACGAGGTTTCGCCATGTGCCCAGGCTGGTCTCAAACTTCTGACCTCAAGCCATCCTCCTGCCTCGGCCTCCCAAAGTGCTGGGATTACAGGCGGCCAGGCACGCGCCCAGCCTTTTTAAGTTTTGTATTTCTCTATTTATTTGTACAACTTTTTGGGCTGATATTGCATCTTCTGTTTTCATGTTTGCCACTTTGCTGTCCCACCCATTTCATCACTCCTGTGCCCAGCCCCTTCCACATTCTCCCTCTCCTATTCCTGGAGCAGAAATTTGACCCAGTGTGGGATAACAGACCTGCTCAGCCCATCCTGCTTTCGGTTCTCCCCCAGATGACAAATACTCTGACACCGAATCACCATCAAGCAGCCAAGGTGCTCACTGCAGCCCCAGCAGCAGCCCTGTCCTCTGAAGGTCACTTAAACTGATATGCTGCATCCTGCGGCCTGTGCCCTGGAGCTCCGTAGCAACTTCCTCAGTCTGCCAAACCCTGATGCCTTTTTGCCAGCCATACTCTGTGGCATCCAGTCTCATCGTGGTGATTGGCTTGCCTTGTGTGAGCAGTCATGGTGGCATCACCCATAAAAGGGAACACGTTTGACTGTGTATTTTAAGTTACTACAAGATTATTAAAGATAAAATGGTTGAAAAACTCTTACTTGGTGTTGGAGGAAGGTTATTAATATTGTTTTAAAGGAGGAGATGATGGGCGAGAGTACCCAGAGAGTTGCAACAATACCACTTGGAAAGAAAAACTTCAGTCCTGCTGTAGCAGAGTAGTCAACCTTTGTTATTATTAGTAAGTAGGAAAATATAAAAGGAAGAAAATTAGGAAACTTTCACACGCCTCACGCCTAAGCCACCTATTTATCATATTCTCATCCCCTCAGCTCTATTTAATTAAAAGTAAGGAGAATTATATACAGAAAAATAATGGGTATATTGTATAGAGGGCAGCATTGAATTGAAAGAGGGCTCAATGTTTCCTTTTTGTATACTTTGAAAGTTACTTAACCTGTTTTGTCCTGATTTTTCTCCTTATTAACTTATCTGTGAACCTTCAGTATTTATCTTTGAGAACTCATTGATTTAGTGGTGGGTTTTTTTTTTTAGAGACAGAGTCTCACTCTGTTGTCCAGCTGGAGTCAGTGGTGGCTGACTACAACACCTCAAGTCTCCCAGAGTTCAAGCAATTCTCCTGCCTCAGCCTCCCAAAGTGCTGGGATTACAGGCATGAGCCACCTTGGCGACCTAGTGCTATGGATTTTAAAATTGTTTTGTGGAGTCTGTATTTTAATTCTGCAATCTTTATTTTCTATGATATCAAGAATTCTAGATTTAAGAAAGCAGATATAACTTAGAATTTGCTTTACAGACAGATGTGATTTATGAAGACATGCCCTGGAAAGACTTTTTTTTTTTTTTTGAGTCAGGAGTCTCACTCCTGTAGTCAGGCAGGAGTGCAGTGATCAAATCACGACTCTGTATTGCAGCCTCTGTCTCCTGGCTCAAGTGATCCACTCCATTTTTAAAGTTTTTATAGGCGAAGTCTACTTCATATTTTAGCAAGCTGGTGTTGCACTCCTGGGCTCAAGCTGTCCTCCTGCCTTGGCCTCCCAAAGTGCTAGGATTACAGGTGTGAGCCACAGTGCCCGGCCAGACTTTGTCTTGGATCTTGTGTTTGACCATCAGCAGAAAGTTCCAGGATGAAGGCATGGATTGCTGAAAAGAAAAAAAAATCTCTCCACTGAGGTCACTTAATTAATAAAGACAGATTATTTTCTTTTTTTCTCTTTTTTTTTTTTTTTTTTTGAGACGGAGTCTTGCTCTGTCGCCCAGGCTGGAGTGCAGTGGCCAGATCTCGGCTCACTGCAAGCTCCGCCTCCCGGGTTCACACGCCATTCTCCTGCCTCAGCCTCCCGAGTAGCTGGGACTACAGGCGCCCGCCACCTCGCCGGCTAGTTTTTTGTATTATTAGTAGAGACGGGGTTTCACCGTGTTACAGCCAGGATGGTCTCGATCTCCTGACCTCGTGATCCACCAGTCTCCGCCTCCCAAAGTGCTGGGATTACAGGCTTGAGCCACCGCGCCCGGCAGACAGATTATTTTCTAAAATTACTGAAGCATATTTAGAATGGTGAAATAGAATGTATTTCCTGTTAACAGCAATTTTATTTCTTAGCCTGTTCACTTACTTGCAGGGTTCTTAACATTGGATCGGAAGGATTTTAAAAAGAGTTAACAGAGGGAATTCTGAAATGGGATGCTTGTTTCTGTCAAGCAATTTATCGCTTAGCTTGTTCATACTTATAGGATTGGATAAAACATTGGATCTGAAGAAAGATTTTTACAAGTTATCAATTAAGAGATAATAATTGAAATATTTACCTAAATCAGTAAGTAATTTACTACAATTTTTAATATTGGCTGCAGTTCTGCCTTTATCTTACAAGAAAAAAAAAAAAAAAAAAAAAAAAGAATTAGCATTGCTCCATGCTACCACCTGTGTGTGGACTGAAAAGCTTTAACCTGGAAATATTCTAATGAATATAAGAGGAGAAAAGCAAACTGAATATGCCCAAGGACTTTTTCACATAAGTCCCTGAGGAATGAGCCTTCATTTTACTTTGGCTGTGTCTCCCTGAGGAAATAAAGAAAGAGATCCTTGGGTCTATTAACGTCACAGAGACATAAATTTATAGGGCTTGATTAGTGCTCAGAAAACAAAAAAGTCTTAACAGGGATAGTATATTTGGGTGCGGTGGTATATAAGTAAATGCAGATACACTGGTAGGAAATTAGGTTTTATAAAATTATTATTTCTTTAAAGAAAGTCTGAAGTTTGAATGAACTGGCAGGCCACTGCCTGAAGGAAAAAAACTAGTCACCAGAGAATGGATGAAAGCTGTGGGCCTGAATCTAAAGAAACCCAGACTTTATAAAATAAAATCAAGCTTTAGAGAAGGTTTACATGACACTTGATTTTTTTCATTTTATTTACCAGGATCTTTTAACTTTTTTAATCCTTTATTCCTTGAAAGGATTTGGTTGTGTGTCATTTGATAAAGAGAACTTACTGGAATACAGTTCCCATTGCTACTGGAGTGCTGCTTTACATAACCACTTGTGAGAACCACAGGCAAAGCAGGGGCATTTCTAGGCCCAAGTGATTGTTAAATTTAGAGTCTTGTTCTGTATTCTATAGGAAATAACACTTTCAAATAACAAAACATCGATGAGTCGGAAATTTGCTGGAACACCTCCATGTATACATTAAATAAACACTAAGAAAAAATAGTCTAGCGACAATAAATGTAGTGGTGAAAACATGGAATGGATTTGAGAAAATACCTCAATGTCTTCTCCAGGTATAAAATGTATTATTATTCAATGCACGATTTTCAATTGACCAGAGAAGGTGGACATAGCATTTACTAAAGGACTACAGAACAAAGACTTTTTGAAATTAAAGTCGGACCAAGTGTGTTTGGGTACTTTAATTTTACAGTTTTATTTTGTTTGTTTATTTTTACAGAGAAGTTTTTGCTCTTGTTCCCCAGTGCAGTGGTGCATTCTTGGCTCACTGCAACCATCCTCCCCCGAGTTCAAGCGATTCTCCTGCCTCATCCCTAGAGCAGCTGAAGATTCTAGGCTTCACATAACCACGCCAGCTAAATTTATATTTTAGAAATGAAGTTTGAAGTGGAGCGGTTGTAGAAGCATTTGAAGAGGAGTGTGTTGCAGACAAGGAAAACAAGGCAGCGTTTCCACATTCGTCAGAGGGCGGCGAGGCGTGGCCGAGCGGGCTGTGCTGTGGGTACTCTTAAGTTTGTGTAATGTGGTATCATTGTGTGTGGATGTGAAGT